CTCTTTCCGTTTATTATTCTGATGATGTCTATTCTGAACAGTGTGAGGTGATACCTCATTATGGTTTTGATTCGCATTTCTCTAATAATTAACGACACTGAGCATCTTTTCCTGTGCTTTTTGGCCATCTGTATGTCTTCTTTGGAGAAAGCCCTGGTTTCTTTTATGACCTAGTCATACACTATCCCTTCTGCCATATTGTATTCAAAGAAATGAGTCACTAAGTTGAGCCCACACTCTTGGGGCAGGTAATTAAGCTCCAGCTTGTGGAGGGAGGACTATCAAAGAATTGGTGGGCATGTTTAAAACCCTTCACAATGGCAATACCATAATTTAGAACATACAGAGAGATCCTCCTTTCCTAAATATGTTGAGTAGCTCTTCATCCCAAGGGGCTGAGGCTGTAGGGTCTTGTCCACAGGGCAGACATCCAATAAACACTTACCAAACTGAACAAGAAAACAGTTGGCCAGGGGTCATTCCCTGGTGGTCCAGTGGTTAGGACTCTGCGCTTTCACTGCCGAGGGCTCGGGTCCGATCCCTGGTCGGGAAGCTAAGATCCCACAAGCCACTTGGTGCAGCCAAAAAAAGAATAAAGTTGGTCATTACTAGAACCTTGCTGCCAGTTCTGCTAGGTGCTTGCTATCCTTGTTCATCTGTCCTAGACACACATTAATTACATTTATTAATTAAAAATTAATTCATGAAAACTAAAGAAACAAAAATTCAGTTCCTTATTTGCACCAGCCTATTACAAGTACTCCATGGCCACATGTGGCCAGTGGCTGGCATACTGAACAGTACATAGAGAGAACATTTCAGAAAGTCCTGCTGGAATGCTGAGCTAGAGAGAAAACCTTTGGATTGTTGCCTTATTTCAGTGGAAGCTCAGTCATGAAACCTTCATAGTCTCCTGTAAGTTTTCCCCTGATGGTAAATACGTGGTCTCAGGCTTAGATGTGGACCGTGGAATCTGTATAACAGACGCGGAAGACACCACCACCGTGTCCCACATCAAAGGTGAGTTTGCGTGGGTTCCCTGCTCTATTCTGTCTGTGGTAAGAGCCACTTGTCACTTGGCAGACAGTGACTTTCGATTGCTTTATTTGGTGAACCTGCAATGCTATGAATCATATCGTTAAAGATGGGACATTGACTGATAAATGCACAGGCAGTTAAAACTAAGACTGCTTAAGGATTTTCCGTTCAGTCTCGTGCTTGTAATAAATGAAGCAACCTCACGTGGACATTTAAAGCCCGATTCTTTATTGAGTGGAGTCCCAGCCTTCTTAACATGTTGATCTGTAATTTTTAAATATAAAAATAATTATCACAATGATTATTAATAATGCACGTAAAGTATTTATTGTCGTGTTTTACAATGCTGATGATTTGCAATGTTATTATTATTAATTGTCATGTAGAAAGAAACAAATTCAGACAATTAGAAAAAGAACAGAATGGCATCTACTGAAAAATAATCATCGTATGTCAATTTCCCAGTTGTAATCCTATATAATGATTATGCAAGATGTTATCACTGGGGGAAACTGGGTGATGGGATCTCTCTGTATTATTCCTTACAACTGCATGTAAGTTAACAGTTATCTCAAAAGAAAAAGTTAAAAAAATACATAATCATTGTAAGAAAAAAAATTAGTAAGTGTGTAAAGTAAAAAGCGCAAGGCTGCTGTACCTGTTTGGACTCCTCCCTGGAGGTACGTATTATTCACAGTGCATTGCTGGGTGGCCTTTGTGTGTGTGTGTGTGTGTGTGTGTGTGTGTGTGTGTGTGTGTTTGCACACACACACTATTACTTCCCACATGCATTTAATGTATTTTTATCAACATGGAACCGTGATAGGTGCGCTGCCCCACAGCTTGCATCCTTCCTTAATGTATCACCGCACACTCTACCTCTCCTCACGCTCGGAGTTCTAGCTGCACACCACGCCCCTCCATGCTCTGTCCCCACGCCGGACCTTGGCACGTGCTGTTCCTTTTGCCTAGAGCACTCTTCCTTTCCTGCTTCCCTCGATAACTTCTAGGTTCCTTCCTCGACCTCTCGGGGCTGGGCCAGGCTTCCTTCTGCTGGCTTGGAGCCATGGCATATGCTGCAGATCGTTGCCTGCTCAAGGGTGTCTCCCCATCCACTTGGGAGCTCTGCAGGGGCAGCGGCAGGGGCGGGGGGCAGTGCTCCTTCTCCAAAGCCTGATTCACAGCAGGCGCTTTGTGTGAGTGCAGAGTCCCTTGTGAAAACCAGAGTTGCATCTCTGTAATATTGCCGCTGTCTAGGGGAGCAGGGTGAGCCTCTGCGTCCCTTGGAGACTGTGGCCCAGAGTATGGAACGCACGGTAACGAGTCACTTTCCTTGTGCCTCAGATCATCACAGGATGTCGGTCACAGCATGCTGCTTTGACCCAGACAGCCAGAAGGTGGCTTCCGTCTCACTGGACAGGAGCATCAAGATCTGGGATGTGACATCCCAGGCCACGCTGCTCACCATCACCAAGTGAGGAGGCCCTGGGAGGCCGGGCAGCATCCTGCAGCGGGGAGGTGGGTGGGAGTCCCCCTTCACGCCCTCCTGGATTCGGCCTGTGCCCCTTTGGCTCCCCAGCTGGTGTCAATGTGGGGCATCTCCAACTATGGTCCACTGGTGCTGTGAGGAGGCTGGTGATGGAGAAAGGGAAGGGGACAGACAGGCAGGGGGAAACCACTAGCTGTGGCCCCTGGGCTGGGACGGCCCTCAGATGCATTCATTTCAGTGTGAGCCAACAGTGGTAAGCATTGTGCAGTGTCCCGCTCCCACCCCAAAATGTGGATTTCCAGCATCCCATGTAAAATGGGAAGATCTGATAATCCAGGGCCTGCAAGAGTCACTTTGTCTGTGGCCACCGGCACCAGGTGGGTGGCCAGCCCTCTCCAGCGGGCCTTGGAGTCAGGATCCCAGAATGTGCATATGCCCTATCACCCTGCCCGCTCAGCTCAGTTACAAGCCCGGCCGGCCTGGACCAGGCTTTCCCCTGGGGGTCTGGCCCGGTGTTAAGAGATTGCAGGTTCTCATCCTGCGTGACCTTGGACCTTAGTTTCCTCACCTGCAAACTGAGCCCAGGTGAGGTCTGCATGAGATAACACACAAAGGTCCTTAGCACAGGCTGCATGGTGGGCGCTCAGCACGGGCTCTGTTACCAAGGGTGACTCCCGTGGACACCAGGGTCGGGAGGGGCCGTAGAACACCTGCCCTGCTCCTTAGACCTACTCCGTGGTGGCAGTGAGGAGGGTGACGCAGCAGAGGTGGCCACAGCTCCAGCTGTGGGTGTCACAGCCCACTCCACTTTGTTTCCCCAAGGAGGGTGGAAAGGTAGCTAAGGAAAATGTCTATTGGTATATTGGATTGACCCACATCTGTGAATTTTCTGGAAATGTAGCTTTTAGCAAGAAAACATAGAGACAAGGATTCTCAGGGCTACAGGACAAGGCTGGCTTCATGGCATGAACCTCTGAAGTTACACAGGGCTCCACACACAGAAAGGCTTACACTTGATTTAATGCTCTGCCGTTGATATCTTGAAATTCTTCATTTTTGAACAAGGGACCTCGAATTTTTTATTTTAAAAATATGTAATTTACTTTTTGAAAATATAAAGCATGCAACACAGTACAAAATTTAAAAGGTACAAAAGGATATATAGTGAAAAATCTCTCTCTTACCTGTCTCGTAACCATTGTTTCCCCAGAAGCCATCACTTTTCCCCCTTCTTTCCTGCCTGCTGGCTGCCTTCCTTAACAGCTTTATTGAGATATAATTCATACACATCATACAACTCACCCATTTCCAGTGTACAGTTCAGTGGTTTGGGGGATATTACATTATTATTTTTTAAATTGTGGTAAAATATAGAATTTTAAACTTATTTCACTGACATTACATTTACAATATTGTGCAACCACCACCACTTTCTATTTCCAAAACCCTTTTGTCACCCAAACAGAAACCCGGTACCCATTAATAATAATTCCCCACTCCCCCCAACCCTAGCCCCTAGTAACCTCTATTCTACTTTCTGCCTTATGAATTTTCTTATACTAGAAATTTCATATGAATGGAATCATACATTATTTGTCCTTTTGAGTCTGGCTTATTTCATCTAACATAATGTTTTGTTTTGTTTTTTAACATCTTTATTGGAGTATAATTGCTTTACAATGGTGTGTTAGTTTCTGCTTTATACCAAAGTGAATCAGCTATACATATACGTATATCCCCATATCTCTTCCCTCTTGCATCTTCCTCCCTCCCACTCTCCCTATTCCCACCCCTCTAGGTGATGACAAAGCACCGAGCTGATCTCCCTGTGCTATGCGGCTGCTTCCCACTAGCTGTTTATTTTAACATTTGGTAGTGTATATATGTCCATGCCACTCTCTCTGTCCCAGCTTACCCTTCCCTCTCCCTATGTCCTCAAGCCCATTCTCTAGTAGGTCTGCGTCTTTATTCCTGTCTTGCCCCTAGGTTCTTCATGCCCTTTTTGTTTTTAGATTCCATATATATGTGTTAGCATACGGTATTTGTTTTTCTCTTTCTGACTTACTTTACTCTGTATGACAGACTCTAGGTCCATTATGGACACTTAGGTTGCTTCCATGTCCTGGCTATTGTAAATAGAGCTTCAATGAACATTGTGGTACATGACTCTTTTTGAATTATAGTTTTCTCAGGGTATATGCCCAGTAGTGGGATTGCTGGGTCGTACCGTAGTTTTATTTTTAGTTTTTTAAGGAACCTCCATACTGTTCTCCATAGCGGCTGTATCAATTTACATTCCCACCCGCAGTGCAAGAGGGTTCCCTTTTCTCCACACCCTCTCCAGCATTTATTGTTTGTAGATTTTTTGATGATGGCCATTCTGACTGGTGTGAGATGATATCTCATTGTAGTTTTGATTTGCATTTCTCTAATGATTAATGATGTTGAGCATTCTTTCATGTGTTTATAGGCAATCTATATATCTTCTTTGGAGACATGTCTATTTAGGTCTTCTGCCTATTTTTGGATTGGGCTGTTTGTTTTTTTGATATTGAGCTGCAGGAACTGCTTATAAATTTTGGAGATTAATCCTTTGTCAGTTGCTTCATTTGCAACTAATTTTCTCCCATTCTGAGGGTTGTCTTTTCACCTTGTTTATGGTTTCCTTTGCTGTGCAAAAGCTTTTACGTTTCATTAGGTCCCATTTGTTTATTTTGTTTTTATCTCCATTACTCTAGGAGATGGGTCAAGAAGGATCTTGCTGTGATTTATGTCATAGAGTGTTCTGCCTATGTTTTCCTCTAAGAGTTTGATAGTTTCTGGCCTTACATTTAGGTCTTTAATCCATTTTGAGCTTATTTTTGTGTATGGTGTTAGGGAGTGATCTAATCTCATACTTTTACATGTACCTATCCAATTTTCCCAGCACCACTTATTGAAGAGGCTGTCCTTTCTCCACTGTATATTCCTGCCACCTTTATCAAAGATAAGGTGACCATATGTGCATGGGTTTATCTCTGGGCTTTCTATCCTATTCCATTGATCTATCTTTCTGTTTTTGTGCCAGTACCATACTGTCTTGATTACTGTAGCTTTGTAGTATAGTCTGAAGTCAGGCAGCCTGATTCCTCCAGCTCCATTTTTTGTTCTCAAGATTGCTTTGGCTATTCGGGGTCTTTTGTGTTTCCATACAAATTGTGAAATTTTTTGTTCTAGTTCTGTGAAAAATGCCAGTGGTAGTTTGATAGGGATTGCATTGAATCTATAGATTGCTTTGGGTAGTAGAGTCATTTTCACAATGTTGATTCTTCCAATCCAAGAACATGGTATATCTCTCCATCTGTTTGTATCATCTTTAATTTCTTTCATCAGTGTCTTATAATTTTCTGCATACAGGTCTTTTGTCTCCTTAGGTAGGTTTATTCCTAGATATTTTATTCTTTTTGTTGCAATGGTAAATGGGAGTGTTTTCTTGATTTCACTTTCAGATTTTTCATCATTAGTATATAGGAATGCCAGAGATTTCTGTGCATTAATTTTGTATCCTGCTACTTTACCAAATTCATTGATTAGCTCTAGTAGTTTTCTGGTAGCATCTTTAGGATTCTCTATGTATAGTATCATGTCATCTGCAAACAGTGACAGCTTTACTTCTTCTTTTCCGATTTGGATTCCTTTTATTTCTTTTTCTTCTCTGATTGCTGTGGCTAAAACTTCCAAAACAATGTTGAATAAGAGTGGTGAGAGTGGGCAACCTTGTCTTGTTCCTGATCTTAGTGGAAATGCTTTCAGGTTTTCACCATTGAGGATGTTGGCTGTGGGTTTGAACCTACTTTCTGGAGGGTTTTCATCTTAAATCAGTGTTGAATTTTGTCGAAAGCTTTTTCTGCATCTGTTGAGATGATCATATGGTTTTTATTCTTCAATTTGTTAATGTAGTGTATCACATTGATTGATTTGTGTATATTGAAGAATCCTTGTATTCCTGGGATAAACCCCACTTGATCATAGTGTATGATCCTTTTAATGTGCTGTTGGATTCTGTTTGCTAGTATTTTGTTGAGGATTTTTGCATCTATGTTCATCAGTGATATTGGCCTGTAGTTTTCTTTCTCTGTGACATCTTTGTCTGTTTTTGGTATCAGGGTGATGGTGGCTAACATAATGTTTTTAAGGTTTATATATGTTATAGCCTGTATTAGAATTTCATTCCTTTTTATGACTGAACAATATTCCATTGCATGTATATACCACATTTTGTTTATTTATCTGTTGAGGAACACAAGTTGCTTCTGTCTTTTAGCTATTGTGAATAATGCTTCAATGAACACTGGTGTACAAATATCTGTTCAATTACCTGCTTTCAATTCTTTTGGCTATATATCTAGAAGAGGAATTTCTGGATCATGTGGTAATATTATGTAAAGCTTTTTGAGAAACTGGCACCTTGCATTTTAATCTTGCACTGGGCCCTGCAAATTATATAGCTGGTCTTACTAGAGAAGTTTGAAAATTCATAATCTCAACTGATTTTGAAGCTTGCAAGGAATAAACACAAGTACTTTGTTATAATTTTTTTGCATCAGTTGTCAAACGTAATTTAGAAAACTCATGAGGAGAAGGAAAATCTACGGTATTTACCCATACTTTTGCTTACCATGTTCTATTTTCTGATATTCCAAGTTTCCTTCTTTCACCGTTTTCTTTCTGTTTAGAAAAATTTCCTTTAGCTATTCTTTTAGGGTAGGTCTGAGGGAAACAAATTCTCTTTGTTTTCCTTCATCTGAAAATATCTTGATTCCTCCTTCAATCCTGAAGGGTATTTTTTTGCTGGATATAGAAATCTGTGCTGACAGTTCTTTTCTCTCCTCATTTGAAAACTGTCATATCACTTTTTTCTGACCGCCATGGTTTCTGATGAAGAATCCACTGCCATTCAAATAGTTTTTCCCCTATAAGTAAGGTGTCATTTCTCTTTCATTGCTTTCAAGATTCTTTTCTTTTTCTCTACTTTTCAAAAGTTTAATTACAATGTGTCTGTGTGTAGATTTCTTTGGGTTTATCCTACTTGGGCTTCACTCTGCTTTTTGAATCTGTCCTTTGCCAAACTTGGTAAAATTCTAGACAATTTGTTTGATTATTTTTTCAGCTCTATGTTATTTCTCCTTTTCTTCTGAGATGTTGATTACCCAAATGTTAGGTATTTTGTTACAGTCTCACAGGTTTCTGAGGCTCTGGGTTTTTTCAGTCTATTTTTTGGATTGGTTAATTTATATTGTCTGTCTTCATATTTACTGATTATTTCCTCTATCTTCTCCATTGAGGATTTTTGTTGCTGTTGTTGTTTTTGTTATTGTATTTTCAGTTCTAAAATTTCCATTTGGTCATTCTTTATACCTTCTATTTCTTTGCTGAGGCTTTCAATCTTTTTGTTTATTTCAAGCACGATTATAATTGTCCATCAAAGCATTTTTGTGATGGCAGCTTAAAAATCCTTGTCAGATAATTCTAACATCTGTGTCATCTCAGTATTGGCATCTGTTGACTCTCTTTCCCATTCATGTTGAGATTTTCCTGGCTCTTAGTATGATGAGTGAATTTCAGTTGCATCCTGGGCATTTTGAGTATTGCATTACGAGACTCTAAGTCTTACTTAAATCTTCTGTTTTAGCAGTCTACCTCATTAGAGCCTGGCAAGGGTGGCAGTCTAGACTCAAGACTTTGCTGACAGTGGTGGGGATGGGATTGCAGTTTTTCCCAAGATTTTTGACTGGAATAAGGCAGGCATTGTGTAAAGGTTTTCTGTCTTACTAGGCTATCCCTTTGGCTAGGGAGAACAGGCTTTTCTTGGGAGTTTTTTATCCAGTCCTTATTGTTTTGGGGGTTGCAGGCTTTCCCGATACCCAGTCCAGGATATAAGAAACAAAAAGAAAACTACAGGGACTCAACAGCATGCCATCCTTGGGTCCCAAGATCCTTAGCTGGTCTGCCTTCTCTTCTCCACCTTTTGCAGTCTTCTGTTTGCTTTATAAATGCCCAGGGTTATTAGCTGTACTTATTTTTTTTTTAATAAATTTATTTATTTTATTTATTTATTTTTGGCTGCATTGGGTCTTCATTGCTGCATGCGGGCTTCCTCTAGTTGCGGAGAGTGGGGGCTACTCTTTGTTGCAGTGCATGGGCTTCTCATTGCGGTGGCTTCTCTTGTTGCCGAGCCGGGCTCTAGGCACATGGACTTCAGTAGTTGTGGCACGCGGGCTCAGTAGTTGTGGCACGCGGGCTCAGTAGTTGTGGCACACAGGCTGAGTTGCTCTGCGGGGTTGCTCTGAGGCATGTGGGATCTTCCCGGACCAGGGCTCGAACCTGTGTGCCCTGCATTGGCAGGTGGATTCTTAACCACTGTGCCACCAGGGAAGCCCCTGTTAGCTGTACTTAACAGGAGGAAAGGGGAGCAGTACATTGACTCCATCTTGTCCAGAACCTTTTCCCTAAACTTTTGCACTAAGTAAAATGGTCTTTTATGTTATGTGGAGTTTATCTGAAATGAGAGCCGCATCCTGGAAAAGAGAGAGAGCCTTGGTTTAAACCTCAGCGACAGTCTCTGGATTCAGAGGAGGGCTTGTTATTCACCTCCAGTATATGCTGGGATGGTTCTTGCCCCACCAGGCACTGGGATTTGGACATTTTAAGCCTGGACACCCCTGGGAAGCCGACATTTCTTCTCCTTTGATCCTACTCAGTTTGTGAGCTTCAAAGAACTAAAAGAGTCTAAAACTCTGACTTGAGCTCTAGAAAACAGTTTTGTTCAAACTTTTCTTCATTTAGATGAATTGATATTATAATCCAGGCTACTCAGAGATGTTCAATTATGTTTATAAGTTTGCTTGGAAACTCTATTTGTAACAGGAGATGACAGTCACAGGGAAAATACTTTGAAGATCATAAGAAAACAAAGAAAAGCAAAATTCTGACAATTCTTTTCTTTCAAAAAATAAGACATTTAAAAATTGAGAATGGGGCTTCCCTGGTGGCGCAGTGGTTGAGAGTCTGCCTGCCGATGCAGGGCACACGGGTTCATGCCCCGGTCCGGGAAGATCCCACATGCCGCGGAGCGACTGGGCCCGTGAGCCGTGGCCGCTGAGCCTGTGCGTCCAGAGCCTGTGCTCCGCAACGGGAGAGGCCACGATAGTGAGAGGCCCACGTACCACAAAAAAACACAAAAAAGGAATGAGGTCACAGGGTATCAGCTCCAATGCCCCCTCCACTCACCTCCCCTTTAGTGTGTCCTCGGATGGTCCAAGAGTGATGTACTAATGTGTGCACCCTTCCATATATGTTTCAGAGCACACACCAATGCAATCTCAAACTGCTGTTTTACCTTCAGTGGCCATTTCCTGTGTACAAGCTCTTGGGATAAAACCTTAAAAATATGGAACATCCATACAGGGGAGTTTCGAAACCGTGGAGCCTGTGTGACTCTGATGCAGGGTCATGAAGGTTCTGTGAGCTCCTGCCACTTTGCCAGAGACAGTGAGTAATTAAATGTTGAAGGATTCCACACCCGTGGGAGTGCTGGGGTAGAGTTCCTCACGTTCCATTCATGTGGACTTTCCTTAGTGTAAATAGGTGATTTCCAATGATGCCAGTGGTGAGGGTGGATTTTTTTCCCGCAAGAACAGAAAAGCCAAGAGGGAGATTCATATGCACAAGTTTGCAAATGATGGAAACTCAGTTTGATATAGCTTAAGCAACAAGATAAATCTGTTAACTTTTTTTTTTCAAATCTATTTTTTTTATTGTTTTTTTTCTTTTTAACATCTTTATTGGAGTATAATTGCTTTACAGTGGTGTGTTTGTTTCTACTGTATAACAAAGTGAATCAGCTATACATATACACATATCCCCATATCCCCTCCCTCTTGCGTCTCCCTCCTACCCTCCCTATCCCACCCCTCTAGGTGGTCATAAAGCACCAAGCTGATCTCCCTGTGCTATGCGGCTGCTTCTCACTAGCTATCTATTTTACATTTGGTAGTGTATATATGTCCATGCCACTCTCTCACTTCATCCAGGAGCTGGTCACCCTTCAGGAGGGCTGTGTCCAGACAGACAATGCTCTCAGGAAGCCAACCCTTCTGCTCTATCCTTCAGCTCAGCTTCTCTCTTGTATTGACCTTTCTCCTCAAGGAGGCAAAGATGGCCTCTGGTGGTCCAGGCCAACAAAGGTTCTGGCCACTGGCAATCCTAGAGAAAGAGAAAACCTCTTTCTGGTGGTGCCCGCACAAGTCCCAGGGAAGACTCGCATTGGCTCAGCTGGGGACACATGCCCATCTCTGAACCAGCCCCTTAGCACGGGATGAAAGGCTCTGATTGGCCATGCCTGTGGGACTTGCCCATCCTTAGAGCTGGAGGTCAGAGTCGGTACCCTCTGAACCAGAGGCACTGAGAATATGTGAGGGGTGTTTCCGCATGGGACATTGGAGAGCTGTTTCCAGATGAAGGGGCCTGGATGTGACCAGGAGCAATGCCAGGAAGCAGCCAGGGGCAGCTGGCCCCAGTGAGAGCTGTGACTGCTCCCAACACCCAGGAGCCAAATGTTATGGCTATACTCCGCAGTCCTCGTGGGGAGTGGGGCTTGCTGTGTGTGTCAAGGGGAGTACCCAGCCAATACGCACATAGTCAGGGCCTGGCTTGAGAAACGTTTCCCTCTTCAGAAGCAGCCTCTGTGTAAGTCAGAGCCCGCTGCGAGGTGCCCCACCAGCTTCTGTCCTTGGCATTATAGGTTTCAGAGTTGCATACAGTCAGTCAATCATCACTATTTGTGGATTCTGTGTTTGTGAATTTACCTACTGGGTAAAATTTATTTGTAAGCCTAAAATCAATACTCATGGCACTTTTGCAGCCACCCATAGATACATGCAGAGTGGCAAGAAGCTTGCCATGTGCACACGGTCCCAGCTGAGGCTGAACAAGGTGACCCTCCGCCTTCCCCTTTCAGTTCTCTTATCATAAGGTGTCCTTGCTGTGATCTATTTAGTCCCACTTTTTTGCATTTTGTGCTCTTTGTTGATGATTTTGCTGTTTAAAGGGGCCCCCCAGCATAGGGCTGAAGTGCTGTCTAGTATCCTAACTGCAAGAAGCCTGTGATGTGCCTTACAGGGACAACACATGTTAGATACGCCTCGTTCAGACATGAGTTATAATGCTGATGGCCACGAAATCAATGTTAATAAATAAGCAATATGTATCAACTAAGGTGTCGTTAAACAGAAACAGACAGAAAACAAGGTTATGTACTGATGGGTTAATGAAAATGTTGTAACCAGAGGCTCACAGGAACCTAACCCTGCATTTCCCCTAAGACCAATCATCACTCATTGAGTGTGATGACTTTGTAGAACGCAACTACCATGAATATCGAGCGTCAACTGTAATTGATTGGGGGTTGTTGAGTCACAGCCGGAAGGGGTTTGAGTGTCCTCAGAGTGAGCCACGGTGGCACCTCACAGATGCATCCGTGGCCTGCTTTGGCCTCACCAGAGGAGGAAACAGTTGGTTGAGGAAGGTGACCCCGTGAGACTCTTTCATTTTGTGTTCCAGCCTCTTTTCTTGTGTCTGGAGGGTTCGACAAGACTGTGGCTATTTGGGATGTAGGAGAAGGCTACCGGAAGCTCTCCTTGAAGGTACCGATGCCAGCATCAGATAGAAGATCTGAGCTTCATTCTTCATTTCATGCTGGGTGCTGGGTGCTGGGGATACAACAGTGAGACAGACCTAAATGTTCGCAATGGAGCTGACACCTCTGTGGGCAAGGTCAGACAAGAAACCAACGAACAAATCCTCAATAGTGATGAGCGACACAGAGTAGCCACAACAGGGTGCTATGATAGAAACAGACTCCAGGGACTAATCCACAGTGGGAGGGCCTCTTGGAGAAGGTGGCATTTGAGCTGAGAACTGGATGGCAAAGAAAGACTGGATGAGTGAGGATCTTGGGGAAGGGCGTTCCAGGAAGAGGGAGCAGCAAATGCAAAAACTCCGAGGAGGGTCAGTGTCTACGAACAGCAGAAATTACTGTGCAAAAGGTTGAATGCCATCCTGAGGCATGCATAGAAAGCTGTGGGGCTTCAGAATGGTGGGTGTCAATGGTGGGTGAGTACTTTTGGCTGCAGGTTAGAGGAGACTCCACTTAAAGTGGCTGTATGGTAAGGAGATGGATTGTGCAACACAACGAGAACCCAAAGGTTAGGCAGTCCCTGGACTGGCTACTTCAGTGCCTCTGTTCCGGGTGCCCCCACCCCAAGACTTCTGCGCACCCCTTGATCTTGTGATCTCACGGCCGCCTTTGGCTGTGAATGCTTGCATTGATGACTCTTGGTTTCTCTATTTCCTGTGACCCAAATGTGGACTGTGTCCCCTTGATCACCATAACATTCAGTATCCCAAAGCTGTTCTCTCTGTGGGTGTGGAGAGGCAAGGGGAGTTTACATCATAGCACGTGAATGGCTTAAAACTGAATGTTGTGGTTAAAAGTCCCTTTGTGTTCCCATCAGGCCATTCTATCCTCCCTTCTCCTCTCCTGTCCTCTCTCTATTCTTCCACCCTCCGATTCCTTTCCTTTTGTTATGCACAGCAGTTTAACCTCACTGTTGCTTCCTTCACTCGTACCACGCCTCACCATTCACCTCTTTCCATTAGGGGAAGGCCAAAGAATGAGACAGATGCTGACACAGAGCTCTGACATCATTAAGTGTTTGAACCAGCAAGTATTTATCTCCTCTAACCTCCTTTTACCCCAGGAAAATAACCCCCATTTATTTAAGCCACAGTGGGTAGGTTTGCAGTTACTTGAAGCCAAAAGCTCCCTCACCAATAGGATCGCTAAGTGGTATTTCCTAGAACAAAGAATATGCAAACAAAAACCTGCAAGAGGTGCTCTGGGACCAGCTGGGAATATAATTTTTTTTTCCCATTGTGCTAAGCACCAGAGTACTATTTTTAAAAACTCATATGGTGCTGTGATATATACATGAATCCCAAGCTTTTACACTTTGTACTCCACTTTAAATATCGTGGGTGAAACCAGGGAAGCACAATTAATTGCTCTTAAAAGTAAGCAATGGGGCTTCCCTGGTGGTGCAGTGGTTGAGAGTCTGCCTGCCGATACAGAGGACACGGGTTCTTGCCCCGGTCTGGGAAGATCCCACATGCCGCGGAGCGGCTGGGGCCCGGGGCCCCGGAAGTATCTTTTCCGACCACAACGCTATGAGACTAGATATCAACTACAGGAAAAAATCTGTAAAAAATATATACACGTGGAGGCTAAACAATACACTACTTAATAATCAAGAGATCACTGAAGAAATCAAAGAGGAAATCAAAAAATACCTAGAAACAAATGACAATGAAAACATGACGACTCAAAACCTATGGGATGCAGCAAAAGCAGGTCTGAGAGAGAAGTTGATAGCAATACAATCCTACCTCCAGAAACAAGAAACATCTCAAATAAACAACCTAACCTTACACCTGAGGCAATTAGAGGAACAAGAGAAAAAAAAAAAAAAAAAAAGTAAGCAACGTTGGATTCTTGACTTTGTTTTTTTTTGGTTTTTGTTGTTCTTTCAAAGGTTTTTTTTTCTAGGTCCTCTTAAAATTCTACTTTTCTTCAGGGCCATAATGACTGGGTGATGGATGTTGCCATTAGCAACAACAAGAAATGGATCCTGTCTGCTTCAAAGGTAAAAGTGGCCAACCTTTGAGTGACTTCAAATCTCTATCACATTTGTGAGAATTGGTGTTAGCAGAAGTGCATTGTCAAGTAAAATTCCTCAGTCTGAAGGACCGAGCAGCTCAGTCTGAAGGCTACACCTGGCCAGGCCGACCCTATCCAGGAAGCGGGAACGTGGGAAGTGGGTCCTTTGCTCGTATGGGAAGTTGCCAGGTAATTCTTTGCACAGTTGTCATTTGAACTTCATTGGAGCAAGGGCCTGTCCAGACTGGTAAGTGATGGAGCCAACAGGGGCCCTTGGAGGGAAAGGGGTCAGCTCGTGGGCAAGCAGACAACCCCGAGGTTCCAGGTGGGTCTTCCCTCGCTAGTCACTGCATCCTGGGATTCCCGTGCCAATGGCACATAACAGACAGCCCAGGATATCTCATGTGTGAGCACCAGAGAAGTGGGGTCCCACCTTGTCCCCCAACCTTTGTTAGAGCCATCTCATTCTCTAGGCTGGGGGTTTCTAGGTGTATAAAAATGTGGGCCAGACTCTGCCTGCCATGATCAACTTCTTAGAGAGCCAATGCAGGATACCGTCACACCTGACCAAAAAACCCATAATATTATAATACATAATAAAAATTATATGCCAATGTGTTGTTACTTTAGCATAAAAAATATGAAAAATATTGTCAATTATATCTCAGTAAAGCTGGAAAAAAGTAAAAATACAAGCCAAAGTATCAAAAGTGAGTGTTTATTTGAAATTATGTCTTATTTACTTTTCTGTTACATAAATGCTATTATTTAAACAAAACAACAACAGAACTAGTCAATAACAGTGATTAGTAGTAACAGATAGTAGGATAATTAAGCAAATATGGTTAAGAAAAAAGTATATTTTAGGGCTTCCCTGGTGGCGCAGTGGTTGAGAGTCCGCCTGCCGATGCAGGGGACACGGGTTCGTGCCCTGGTCCGGGAGGATCCCACATGCCGCGGAGCGGCTGGGCCTGTGAGCCGTGGCCGCTGAGCCTGTGCGTCCGGAGCGTGTGCTCCGCAACGGGAGAGGCCACAACAGTGAGAGGCCCGCGTACCGCAAGAAAAAAAAAAAAATTGAGCAGATCATACAGAGGGTTATATATAACCTCACCCTCCAGTTGCCACTTGCATTAAGTGTGGTATATTCATCACAATTGATGAACTAATATTGATATATTATTATTAATTACAGTCCATGGTTTAAGTTTCATTCTTTATGTTGTGTGGGTTTTGCCAAATGCATGTCATGTATCCACCATGACAGTATCCTACAGAACAATTTCACTGTCCTAAAAACTCCTTGTGCTGCACTTGTGCTGCATCCCTCCCCTTCTTCCCCAGAGCCCCTGGCGACCCCTGACCTTTTTACTGTCTCCATATTTTTGCCTTTCCCATAACGTTGTATAGTTGGAATCATACAGTATGTAGCCTTTTCAGACTGGCTTCTTTCACTTAGAAATTTGTATTTAAGGCTCCTCCATGTCCTTTTTGTGGCTTAACAGCTCATTTCTTTTTTTTTTTTTAATCACTGAATAATATTCTATCACATTAATGTACCACAGTTTGTTTATTCTCTTATTCAGGGACATCTTGGTTGCTTCCAGTTTGGGGGACGTGGGACTTCCAGTGCTAAGGCTAGGATGGTGCTAGAGAAACTGGGACAGTTGGTCACCCTAACTGTCCCTCTGCAGGTCGAAGCTGTCCACGTGTAACCTGGATGCCATGCCCCTCCCTGGGTCATCCAAGCCTAACAAGCCCATTTTGTGACTGCTGGTTTGCTGTTTTAACTTGTTTTAGGATAAGACCATGAGACTATGGAATATTGAAGAAATTGACCAAATTCCTTTGGTAATCGAATATAAAAAGGCCCGGGGCTTAAAGCTGAAACAGGTTGGTATTGGGTAAAATGAAGCCAAAAGAAGGCTTTCATTAGTTCCCTCTACAAATTTATTCTTTGAACAAACTGGGCAACTGGGGATAAAACTATGAACAAACAGATTGACATTTTTGCCCTGAGGGAGCTTACATTTCTAAAAGGGGAGACAAACAATGAATAAAGAAATTAGAAAAATATGTAGTAAGTCACATGATGATAAGTAGTTTGGAGGAAAATAACATAGGAAAGGGAACCGGGAGTGCTGGCAGTTGCAGCATTCTAAAAGGTGGTCAGGATAGGTCTCATTGAGAAGGTGACATTTGTTCAAAGACTTGAAGATAGTGAGGGAGTGAGCTGTGCAGCTCTTTTCAGGAAAGAACATCCCAGCAAAGGGGACAGCCCATGTGGAGACCCTGAGGCAGGAGTAAGCCTGGTGCTGAGGACTGGAGTGAGCAGGGTGGGTGGGAGGAGATGAGGCTGGAGGGAGTCCTGGAGGGAGGCTGGCACACAGCTGGACCCCGTGTGGGCCTCCTACGCTCCTGCAGCAGAACCTGGCCAGGTCTCCAGTGCCCCGTTTCCCGTGGATGGGGCTCAGGTCCTAATTCTCTAGTGGATGATCATGGTGGGTACATCTTCTGCTTCACCAGGTATTGCCAGGGCTGGCCCTGGGCAGTGGAGGCCAGTCCCTGCTGGGGCCTCGCACTGCAGGCACCTGGCTGCCACCTCAAGAGGCTGAGGAGTCCCTGCTGGGCCCTTGTGAATCCTGGAGCTCCCTAGGCCTGTCTCCACTCAGAAGGCCTGGCTGGGAGCCACTGCTTCTGGGGATGGCTAATTGGAGAATGGCACCGGGGGGCAGGGAGGTGAGGGGTGGGACCCAGGCGGAATCCCATCTTTGTGGCCAGCTGGTCCTCATGGCCTTTGTGGCCATGTCGGCCCTTAGGCCCTGGAAGCTGACTGGGTACAGAGCAGTGCTTGTGTCCACCTGCCACCTGGGGAGGGACCCAGGAGTTGCTTCCTCTGAGCCCTGCTGTTCTGGGCTTGGGTCGTGGGAAATGGTGCTGTAGAATAAGGCAGGTAAGGGATTGAATTTCCTTCTTGCAAAAGAAAGAAAAGAAAGAAACCTACCTGAAGCTGTAGCAAAGATGAGCTCGCTGCATTTGACTTGCTCTGATTCAATACGAGAAACTTCAGAGGCCACACTTCCCAGAAGACCTGCCCTGGGCGGGGTTGGCCCCATCTCTCCTGCAGGCTTTGGTGCCCTGGAGCGGGCAAGAGTGGCAGAGCACAGGGGCTTGGAGAGCCAGGGCAGGGGCTTGCCGCCTGCCGGCTCGTCTCAGGGGGACCGTGCTTTGGTGGGAGCCCCGAGAGACCTCTGCCCATGGCCTGAGAGCCCACCCCCTGGTGTTGCTCACTTGCTGGTGGGAAAATGTTGCAAGTGAGCTGTGCCACTGTATCCACTGTCCTCTGGGTGCTTCGGCTCAAAGGCAGAGGAGGATGCTCAGCACCTTCATCATCTAGAAAAATACTCCTGCTTTGTTCAGAAGTCTTGCCTACTTGATTCTCAAAAGTTAGGTGTCCCCAGGATGTCAGGGAGTTAGGATAGCCCCTCGGCCCTGTACTTTTGCTCTGCACAGAACAGAGGGTGAGGTTAGACACCCACCCCAAATCCTCAGCACCGTCAAGTGGCTTTCTACTCCTCCCCGCCACCCTGGGACCCCACAGCAGGGGACATGAGCTGGAAGGACCTGCATAGCTTTTGAGAAGGAAAAGAGCAGGAAGCCTGTGCTTATCCCCTCTCAGTGGCCTGCAATTTCTACCCTTGTGCACTTAAGAGCCCCAGAGATGGGAGGCAGCTCTTGCCTTGGCCCGCCCCAAGGCAGTTGGATCAGGGGGGAGAATTCTAACTGCATGCCTTGATCTCCTCTGATCAGCACCTCCTTTCTACTCTTTTAAAATATTTCATGTCAGTGTGAAGAATGTGACAGGCCTTTCTCCATCTACGAAAGTGACATCTTTTCTGAAACAGTCACCAAATGTGTGTTCTGCCGGATCGATGCAAAAGACTTGTCAACAGAGGCCTCACCATCATCAGAAGGGGAGGTCTCACTGTCAAGGGAGTGCAGCCTGGGTGAGGATGGCTGATGGCCACTGGAGCCTTTGGGTGACTCGAGCACAGGCCACCTGTCATATAGGTTTCGGGGCTCTGCACAGGCCTTTCTCTGGGGCCCCTCCCCGGCGGGTGGGCCTGTCAGGCTGGGGCAGGGGCCACGCTCTGGCTGGGCTCCCACCACTGTGCCGCCTCCTCAGCTCCACAGCCCCTTGGGGATCCCTCTGTCTTTAGTTTAGACGCAGAATAAATATAGATTCTTTTGGAAAACAAGTATGCATGTGCATTCTAGAAACATTTTTGTTCTTTCTAAATTCTATATCCTGGTGTCCATCCTGTCTCATTTTTGGAACACATTCTGGTCTCTGGATTTGTTTTGTTCTTTCTAAATTCTATGTCCTGGTGTCCATCCTGTCTCATTTTTGGAACACATTCTGGTCTCTGGATTTGCCCTGTAAAGCAGCCACAGCCTCTGAGGAAGTGTTTGTTGAATGAAGAGGAAGCTGTATAGCTCCATCTGTGGAGGGGACTGTACCGTGGCACTGTGGGTGCCTCCCTGGCTAATGCTCCCAGATGGTCACTGCTCAGAGCAGAGGAAGGTCTGGTTAGGCAAGTGGGTGGTGGGCATTTCCATCACAGAATACTTCTTGCTCTCCACCCCAGTTTCTTTACTTTCCAGAATGCCCATGCATGTGTACAGCCTCCTTCCTGCTTCCACACGTACAATGTAATCAATTACTTCACAAAGAGCAAGGTATCAGTTAAACATGAAGGGCTCCCTTTTCCATTTGGTATGGCTTACAGGATTTCCGTCAGATATCATTAGTATGCCCCTTGGTCCTTTTAAAAAAACTTAGTTGCAGGACTGATTTATTTAATGTTAATTGATTGGCATCTCACAATTCTGCCCATGAGCACCATAACCTGGTAGTCATTGCTTGGGCAGGTCCTATGCTTGGTGCTACCCTCCTTAGTCACAACCAGGATGACTGCCCAGCTTCAGCAGGCTGTTCAGTATTTATCCATGAATTTACATGAATGATGCATGAACGTGGCAAAACTCCACTGCATCAGCCTCCCAACAATTGGGCTCTTTTTGGAAGCGAAGTCTTATCACTTCTCTGGCACATGAAGACGTACATAGGTGTATTCTTCCTCACTGCTGTGGAGGATGTCTGGTCTGCATCCACTGTCCCCAGGGATGGGCAGTTAGGTTGCTTCTCGTTTTTTGCTATTACAAACAATGCTGGAGTGAACCTTCTTGTGTACATACTTGTGCAGAGACCTACATTTCTGTGGATTAGGCTCTCCCACTGGAGAAATCGCTGGGTCAATGGATTAGCAGGTTTTGGTTTTGTTGCTGCTCAAAGGCACTCTAAAAAGTGTTGTGACGAAGTGGCTGATGTGTCTGAGTGAGGAGCCCCAGAGGGGCAAGTGAGACGCCTGAGTGGGGAGGGCTTTGCCTTCCTCTGGCAGCGGAAACCTGCCACGTACCGTGTTGATGCTCTAAGGCCAGCGGCCTGGGCCCCTTTTAAGCTCTTGATCGTTCAGTGCCTGCTCAGGGTCTCTTCAGTGCCCCCGGACTCTCCCCGTGCTCAGGGTCCGCGGAAGAGGCCCAACTGAAGCTATGGGTCTGGTTTCCACCGGCGGGCGGGCGGATGAGCCCCCAGAGCTGACGGCGCCGGAGACCCCGGTGGTCAGCGTGCGGCCGAGGTGGGCAACCGGCCTCCCAGGCTGAGGGCGCCAGTGTGATGGGTCCGACACGTGGTCACTGCGGGACCACGGCCGGGTTGAGCCCTGATCCAACGCTGGGGAGCCGGCAGCCCGGCCGCGCTAGCGGGCCCTGGATCTCCGGACCGGGCCGGGGCTCGGCCTCACCGGACAGCGTGCGTCAGTTCTGGAGGGCCGAAGACCAGATTTTGCGCGAGCATCCCCTAAAGATGGGCCACCCTGGCTCCACGCCTGGGGCGGACACTGCGACACAAGGAAGAGAGCCGGCCCGGGCCCGCCCACTGCTCCCTGCCCGAGCTTCCGGCTTCCGAGTACAACTCTTCGGTCGAAGCCGCCTGTGACTAGGACCTTACACAGCGCATGCGCCAGCCGCCGACAAAACTGGTGCGCGTGCACGCAGCCTATACAGTAAATGGTGATGAGAAACAGACTCTCGCGGTAGTTGTGCGGGCGGCGCCGTGGCTTAGTTGGTTAAAGCGCCTGTCTAGTAAACAGGAGATCCTGGGTTCGAATCCCAGCGGTGCCTCAACCGAGCGTTCCGGCTCTCTTTTTACCCACGCCCTGTTTTGCTCTGCGCCCCTACCCAGTTCCCCCTCGCTTTGAGGGTGTGAGGGGCAGCTGAAGAAGCCAATTTAATGCCCCCCTGCCCGCGGCGGTGTGGGGCGCTGACCCTCCTCGGAGTCAGCCCCTAACGTTTCCTTGAGCTGCGGGGCATCCTTGACTCGGCCTCCGGAGCAGAGGGGACGTCTCCTGGAGGCGGCGCGGGACTCCCCGGGTGCCGTGGGAACACTCCTGGGGTTAGAGATGCCCCGCAGGGCGAGCAACCTGCCCAGGTTCCGCCGCCGCTACGTTGCGAGGCCGAGCCCGGGCACTTCTCCGTCGATTTCTTCCGGAAGCGGCCGACTGGACCTGACACCTCTCACATAGGCCTGCTGACTTACTCCCCTCTCTCCAGCCGTGCGATCCGGATCATCATTCCCCAGACTGAAGACTGGGGCTTGCAGAGGTCAAGTGAGGCCCAAAGTCACGGGCGCCTGGGAGAGCGGAGGATTGAACCCGGCCAGCGTGACCCTCAGGCTGATGAAAGAATGAAATTTCCAGGGAGGGAAGCTGGAAATTTGGGACTTCCTGTGCCAAATTTAGAGCCGGCTTCTCCAGAGGGCCCGGTGTGAGGCTGAAATCTAAGGCCCGGGGCTGCACAAGTAGACGGTTGTGGGTCCTGATCCAGAGAAATTGCATCGGAGTCTCTGGGGGTGCAGTGAGGTATTGGACTTAAAAGTTACCCAGGAATTCTCATGTCAAACGAAACAAAATTCAAGTCAGATGTAACAGGACAGTCCCAACAAGCTGCAGAAATTGCAGTTATGGTATCAGCCTGTGTTCCCAATAGACCACCTGCCCCAGAAGCAGCTCCTTTTTCTCCTCCCACAGGTGTGAGTTTAGTGTGTGTGTGTGTGTGTGTGTGTGTGTGTGTATCCTCCCTCTTCTTTGGGGGTCAGTTCTTGCCCTTTGCAGCTTGGTTGTTTTTGATTGGCGTTGCACAGGAGAACCTGTAGGGATACTTTGAAGCTTTGCATTTCTGTTGGGAGCATCCTCCTAATCCAACTGGAGATGTGTTTATTGGTAATAAGGCTTGAGACATTGTGACGCTGGGTGTTTTTGGTTTTTTTTCTGGCTCATCTTTACTGCTAGCCTGAGGTATTCCAGGTCAGTTTTGAGCATTTACCTATTAGGTGGCTAAGGGGAGATGTTGGTTGTGGGTGTGAGTCTGGGTCTTAGGGAGGGTCAGCTGGAGAAAAGCATTTGCGTGCAGCAGTTAACTTTGAAGGTGTTGCAAAGGTGAGCCCTCCTGGGCAGTGAGCAAAGCCAGAAAAGACAAATAGGCCGAGTCCACCCTTCCTTCTTTTCTTTAAAAATACCTTGCTATTCCTGCTTAGGGCCTTTCTGCTTGCTGTGCCCTGTGCTTGGAATGCTGTTTCCTGCACCTTTTGCAGAAATGGGTCTTTGTCATCTCCTGGCCTTTAGCAAGTGTATCACCTCTTTGGGAGGCCTCCCCTCACCATGCTCTGTCCAGGAGTCTCTGCCACCCCCCCAGGCCAGCGTCCAATACCTCATCCTGCTTATTTCCTTTACAGCCTTTTCACAGTCTGAAATCATCTTGTCTATTGTCCATTTTCTCAAAGAGAATTAAGCCCCGAGAGGTGGGGAGCCACATATGTCTATTTACCTAATGGTTCTTGGAATATAATAGGCATTTGTGGACACATGACTTTTAAAAAATTGGTCACATTCTCTTGAT